AACCCAAGTGAAGTAGAGCCGCGAAAGCGCAGTAAGAGCACACTATGTACCACAATCAGTGAAATTAATCCTGATAATCCAGATAGTATACTACATGATTCTCGATTCACAGATGCAGTAAGGAAGCTGAGCAAGGAGGAAATGGCATTATTGTACCAAGACATAGTTAAGCCCGTGGATATCTATTCCATTTTAATTAGAAATCGGAAAGACTGATAGCTCTAATGAAAAACGTTTGGTTTGTCTTATTAAAATAACTAAAGAAAGTTTTTAACTGATAATATATTGTTAAAATTTGTGTTCAGTTTAAATTCGGTTATACGGTTTTTTGCACATCAACATTTACATTTGGGATCTGATGGCGTTTTTTGTATATATGTAATCGCGCTTGTATTTTAAAACAAACTGTATAGATATATTTCAAGTTTTACTCGTATACGGTCAACCTTATTGAAACTCTCTTCATTGGCAGAAAGTCTTCAAAGTTTTAGCGAGCATGAATATCAAAGTGTGGTTACAATAAATTGAATCGCCATCATTATTTTGTAATGATTTAATTTTGTTTGTCCTTAACACTTTGACAATGTTATGTCGTTTTTTCAGTCATGAATAAAAGGACAGAAAAATTAAAAAAAAACTGCCTTCAGTTTGTTTTTTACAATAATAAATTCTCTCCAGTAAGTAAAAATGCCAGTTCAGTTGAATAATAAATACCAGATAATATGGGGCAAGTTGCAAAATTTATGACTCTTGTAAACTTGCGCAATATTATCGTCAATAACCTTTTCTCACTTGTCTATAGGCCATTTGCACGATGACGTCATTTTACTACTACTACCAGAATCCTTCAGGGTTGTGCTTTCTCGTGCAAATTAGGGCTTTTGTTATTTAAACCTCAATGAGATTAACAAATTTAAATAGGAAAGAAAAAACGAAATGAATTCTGGTCCTAGTAGTAAAAAGACGTCATCGTGCAAATGGCCTATTAGCGGCTAAAGACTGGTGATGGAGTTTCATTGGCTAAAATTTGACGTGTTTGAGTCACACCACTGCCTTGCATAGTTTAGGTATTTACTTGTTTTCCAAAATTCAGAACTAGAATGCTATCAATGATGTTTATCGTCTTGAAAAATGGAGACATTTTGCGGCAGTTTAACCCTCAGGCGCTCACCTGGAGTCATTTTTGATTCGCAAGATTTTTAAAGTCCTTGCCTGTTTTCGCTGTTATACAAGGTTCCCTAAAATCACCTCATTTCATCGCTAAATTATTTGAGACAACCTAGCGCAAAGTATTTCAGGGAATGAAATGAATTTCAAAATAACAACAACAAAAAAAATCCTCAAAAATGCATATATAGTTATTGACATGGGGTTAAATCTCACCCTGGATTCATTATTTCGTAACATTTCATAAATCAGTTTAAGAAAAAATTTTGAATAAAACTCATGGAATTTGCTACTTTAGAAACGAGAAGAAAACTGAGTTAACTTTCACAAAGACTTCTGGGATAGTTACTGGGGAGAGGGAAAAATTAAACGGCCAATAGCGGACCGGCGCGTTCTCGGTACTGGCCGTCGCCAAGCTACACTTGCTCTGTTGGGTGCTGGATCTGTGTTTCGGCTAGTTACAAGACTGCAAGGAAAAATTATCGAAAAGGGCGAAAATTTAGCAAATTTAGAACCCGAGAAAAAAATCTGCATGTCTTGTCTTCAGTGTTGCAGAAGCATTATAGGAATTGTTCAAGAATCGCATGTTTGATGGCCTGTGCTTGATGAAGATACTAAAAATGAGGATTCTTCACCTGAAAAAGATTCAGATTCAGATCCAAATTCATTGTCTTGAATTCGAGAGTTCTACAATCTGAGAGTATCAACTGGCCATGGAGAGCAATTTGTGTCGGTAACCTTTCAATGTACGTTCTAATGATAGCCAGTATGAGAACGTGGAAAAATTTTGATTGAACAGTCGTTATCCTTAAATAGCTATGGAAACTAACTGAAGAACTACATACATACAGGTTCCCCCCAAAATAAGTATTTGATCCAGTGCTGACAAATTTAAATAACGTCTTTGGTCCATTAACATATAACAGCTGCCTTTTTTCTTGTGTTATTTCATTTGTTTTTGACAGAAATCAACGAGAAAGTTTGAAACAGGAAAGTTTAAGTGTTAGTTTCCAGAAAACAAATTTTCATTGTATTATGAGCGTTGAACACCTGAGCATTTAAAACTCAAAAATATATCTGTTTTGGAAAAACGTCTCCCATTTGGTTGACCACAGCTGACCTGCATCTCATCTAGACCCCAGTATTTTAATTAGGCTCCCCATTTTAAAGCTCAAACTTATGCGTCGTCAACTCCATCATAGGTAGTGACAAAGAACAGTCCAAAAAATGTAAGTAGAGAAATCTAGTAGAGAACTAGTTTTGTTTTCTTTACAATTAACACTTTTGATAAAGAGCGCAAGCAAAATTTCCTGTTTAAGTAACAAAGGTATGCAAATCTCTTCTCTATTTTGACCTAGTTCGGTCGTACACTAGTCTGATTTGATGTATTTTAAAAACTCTCCAGAGTTGAATCAAACATTTGTCGAATATGACCAGTTTTCGACGGATTTTTTTAAAAGTACTTAACTTGAGAAAGCTTGTATCGCAGGGGTTCGAAAAGGATCGGACAGGTCATGCGCGTGAGAAAGGTCCCCCTCCTCCCTCCTTCGCGCTTAAGGGGGGTCTTAAAAACCATATAAATAAATCGATTAAAGTTGAAAAGGAAAAATCGAAGGAAAAAAATTAAGGAAAAAATTGGTGTGGGTACTTTTCCAAGTGAATTTTAATCAATCTTTTTTTCATCCCTGAAACTACACTAAGTTTTGACACATTTTTTCAATAACTAGTGATGGGAACTAACGAAAACTTGTGAAAACTTGCTCAAGAACGTATGGAGAGTAACAGCAATAAAGAAAAAGGAAAATTATCATTTTAAGACCCAAAAAATCCACTGCTTTAACAGCTGATGTTTTTTTCTTTCTTCTCTCTTCTCCTTTGTTTTCGACGGAAATCAACTAGAAAGTTTGAACCGAAAATTAGATATTTTCTTTGTATTACGAACCTTGGGAAACGGATCATTTAAAATGCTTCTGGAGATCTGTTTTGGAAAAAATTCTCCCGTTCTATTTGCCACAGTAGGTATGCGTCGTCAAGTAATTCATGAGGAACGACAACAATCAGTCCAAAAACGTATCAATTAACTTAGATTTTCTTCCCACGCCTTTAAGAAAGGAGAAGTAGTTTTGTTTTTATTTTATTGTTGTGAAGGTTTGAACCCAGGAGTCATTTCGTAAGTAGGTAGAGTAAGATCGTCCTGGTAAACGTAGTCCTGAATAGGTCGACTGTTGTTGTCGACAGTGACTGACGTTTCGACAACCTGTGCCGTGAGTCATCTTCAGAGTCAAAGTGAGTTGTATCACTTCAGTTGATGATATTCAACTCTTGTCAATGACCTGTTTGGTCAATGAAGTCGCGATGTTATTGGTCGTCTGTCAGTTAATCCGTGATGTTATTGGCTAGAAGACTCGTAATGTCATTGGTGCTTCCCTCCAATCCGTCTATTGTCACAGTTAAACGGTCGTTTATTGTTAGTCAAACTGTCAGTTGTCCAGTTGTTCTCTTCTAGTAAGTTTGCTTGATTCCGTCAATAAGTTGTTTGTGCGGTGCCGGTAACAATTGACTACGATTCAGTAGCGTTTGTTGTAAGTTAGTAAACCAGCTTTCTAAAGTGAGTCGTTGATAGTAGACTGTAGAATACGTTATACATGTCGCAGAGTCTCAGTCGATTTGATGCTTCTTCTATAAATGGTGCTCAGCAATGTGATTGTTGACGTCACCATTTCTCTTCGCTCGTTTGTATTCGGTCAGTCGCGTGCTAAGGTTTCTGCCGGTTTCACGAATGTTAAAGTAGCCTGGCAGTCGCACCATTTGATCTTGTATACTGCACCCTATCTGTCCTCCGGTTTGGCTTTGTCCTTGACATTAGTAAGTAGTCGTCCTAAAGTGGTTATCGGTTTGTGTGCAACGCGTATATTGTCGGTAAGGTTGTAGTATACGAGCTATAGTTTCAGAGGTGCCTCTGATGTACGGTATTATCGCGTCGTAACAGAGCTTAACAGGGCCAGGGATGACGTTGGTCTGAGTGTTGGAATCAATGTTACTGTGAGTGTTCCGTCTAACAAAATCCGTGTTGTAGTTGTTCTTACTGAAAACGTTGTTTAGGTAGTCAGTCTCGTCTTGTAGGCTTCAGGCGAGTCGCAAAAGTCTGTATAGTTGAAGCCTTGTGAGAGGTCGGGTGTACGATGACTGAAAGTTTTGTTTTTCTTACACTTGATCATACCTTGTTGAAGAGTAAAAGGAAAATTTCCTTTTCAACAATATATGCATGCAAATCTCAGTCTCATTTTGAACAATTCTTAAGCTGTAGGTTATCTTCAGTGACTGAGTGTGTTTTAAAGCTTCAAAGAAAAGATTCGACGATATTTAACTGGTTAAAGCGTAAATCTTTGTAGATACATTAAGCTCGCAACATCTCAGAGAATATTCAGAGCGTATCAAAAATAAGAAATTACATTACATAGTGTTGAAGGACTAGAATCTTAAGGTTTTTTATTAGCTCTCTGGAGATAAGGAACTGTCAAGGATTCCTTTTGTACTAGAAAGCAGCATAAGTATTATTATCCTCGCGTGGCACATGTCTACAGGGTTTCCAATTCTCAGCTTGTATTATTAATACAATCATCGACGTAATGTTCCTGTTTGAGGCTACGGTCTTGGTTAACGGACTACCTCTAAGAAATCAAGTGTACTTTTCGTCGATTCTAGCATCTTGTCTTAATATCTAGAGTGATCTCTCTTGTGTGATCGGGATCTTTTTTCCCGTGGAACTATCAAGGTGCTTTGACAGATTTTCTGCATTTTCCTGTTTTGCACTGGGATCGGTCGCTAGGTCCTTGGTGTACCTCTACAGTTATTTCATGTTGTGTGTAATCCTCTCTGGACGTTGAACTTCCTTCTTCAGAACTTTTCCCTGCAGTGTCTGCGGGATAGTGGTCAACCCATGCTACGAGTGAGTTGATCTGAGGCGGAGAGTCTTGTGATAAGAAGGGCGTGGTCTGGTTTCTACGTGAGCCCGTTCTTCTCCCCATATCCGCGTATTCACTTTTTTTCTTCTTTTTATAGCTTTGTACTCCGAGACTCATTTCATCTGTGTAGGTCTTGAATGAGCAGGCTACAAGATCGTGCCTCACCTTGCCTTTTTCAGCCTCACATTCATTCGTGTACGCACCAATCTGTTTGACTCTATGCTCTTTTTCGGTTTCTTGGAAAGTAGTTTTTCCGAAGGGATCTTGAAGGAGCTGTTTCAGTGCGCGGCGAAACCTTTTAGCTCGAAAACATAAGATGACAGGATTGATCCCACCGGACAGGAACGTGAAAAGGAAAACTATTTGTCGAGGGTAAGCCATATTTGTGGCATCGGTTTCGGGTGGACCCAAGATTGCAATGAAGAGAGGAGGAATGTAACACACTAGGAATGCCAGTACAGTAATGAGGACACTTTTGGCAGCCTGGACGTCCAGTTGAAGCCTGGCCTCAGCTTGGAGTCGAGGCAGATTAAACCGCTTTCTCTATGAAAAAATGCCATAGATAATCAGGTTAATATTGAATCTACGCAATAGATTTTACATGTGGTTAAAATAAGGCTTATGTTCCAGTTTCCCTGAAATTTGGCAGAAACCATGAATCATAAAATCAAACTTTTCTCTTAATTACAACTTGATAAGATATATTATAGATACAAAATAAAAATATGCGATTATTATTGCAATACAACCTAAAACATTAAAATGCTTTCGTTTTATGTCATTGCTTTAAGAACCAATGAAATTTATTAAGCTATAAACGTTGTAGGTTTTGATCAATTGCAAGCTTCCATCATAAGTCATGCGGGAATCTGGGAATAACATACTCCAAGACCGTCCAAATTCTAGTGGGCCTGACACTCCGTTATCCAGATTGGAGGAGAATTCCTAAAAAATAAAATAGAAAAATGATTAAACTTGTGATCTCACCTGCCGTTTCTTCCTTTGGATTGAGAAATAAATAAGGACGCCGATAGCAACTGTAGCGAAAGTAAACCCTGAGAGGATCGCTATCAAGCCATATCTGGATTTTATTAAAATGGTGCGCCGATATCTGTAAACAGAAGCTTCCTGAAGGTCGATACTAGAATCAAACCACGGCAACAAAACAGTTGCAATATAACAGACCATCCACTCTACAAGGGCTATTTTCATAGCTTTTTTATTCGTCTTCCATGTGAAACATTTTAAGTCCAGTGCTATCGCCAGAAACACGTTTACGAGCAGAACCAACATGGAGACGAAGTTGAGATGGAGACAGAGGCAGGTCATAAAAAGCGAAATAATCGCCAAAACCTTCCCTGTAAACCATTTCACATCAAGGACACCCCAAAGCAGGTACATAGGTACGTTGATGAGCGCGCTGAGTAAATCGATCAACGCTAGATTAGCAATCAGAATGTTTGGAAAGATGCGAAACTTTTTAAACCGGGCAATGATACAAAGAACGAACCCATTACCAAGTACTGCGAAGACAGCCACTAATGGTAGAAGTATAAGCATGGAGATCGTGGTGGATGAGTAATCTTGCATTTTTAGAATTCACGTTGCGCGTCCCGCCCCAAATCCACTCATGCCTGTTTACGTTTTCCTTACCATTAGATAACGTACACGTGAGTCACGTTTTTTATAGTTTTAATTTTTGCACAGCCGGATGTTTTTCCAACTGTTTAACAATGAGGTGACTGTTAAAATTATATTTAAAAGAATATAATACAAACCGTTTTTAAATAACAAGTATCTTGAGATTTACTTTCTGGCTCGTTTCCTTCCTCTATAGTTTTCGTAGATTTTAAAAAGGTTAATCAAAGCCCGGCAACAAATTTAAATGACTTTCCTCCCATTAGCGCAAGTGTGGTCCACGAAAATATTTGTACATCGTCTCCATCGTTAACGGAAAATAACTGAATTACATTTAAACTTCTCTTAAGCGATCACCCATAATTCGCCCCATGTAAGGGAATCCATGACAGTCCTGGATTCTGGATTCCACCCAGTGGATTCCGGATTCCGAGTACTGGATTCCGGATTCCAAAAAGGGCTGGATTCCAAATTTTTTCTGTTTTAATGCTTTTCTTCGCATTTCGTTTTCGTGTTCGAATCTTGCTATATTCAAAGACGTTGTTTAGAATGCATAACAAGTTTGTTTTCTTTTTCGATTTATAAATTACGTGAAGAAATGTGTCACTGTTCCGTAAGGGTTTAAGGTATAATAATGAGGGGGACATTCGGGAACTGTTCACACCGCAACACCACGAAAGAAATAACAAACATCGCATCACCGCAAAAAAACGTTGCGAAACACCGATATCGCAATTTTAAATTTTGTCCTTCGATTAATCTAGTCCAAATCTCCATATGATTAGGGATCTCGGATCTCGGAGCTGGTTTAGTGATTAGTAGAGAGTGAGACTGACCTCAAGACTCTATTTTTCACTTACTCTTTTTTTGCGAACTCTATTTTCAGCTATGCAGATAGAAAAATGCTTAATGAGCAGAAACAAAAGAACTCTTGCCAGTCATTCCTAAATATTCACGTTTATTTATTTGATTGCTACATAATAAAGTATTGGGAAAAGGTACAGTCATTGCCAGGGAAAATCGAGCTGCAATTTGCAAGAAAACGGCCTAACAAAGTTCGTGTGTAACTCCAAATCAATTTTTACTATCTATGCCATATCATAAACCAGCGAAGGTTAATCAAGTCTTTTGCTATCCACTAATAATATAATAGAAGGTTCATTTTGATTCATTATGAAAAAGAACTTGAATTGCTTAATGTCAGTTAAGTAGAGAAGCACTCCGATAGCTAGCTTTCACCTGACTACAGATCTAGAAATACAGTCAGCAATGGAGCTTTTACTACATATGTGTTGTATAAGTGTTCTATACCGACAGTGATTGCTATATCATGAATGAATCACGCACACTACTAAGCATTTAAATCGATCAGGATTCGTTGATATTGGTTCACTGTTCACACCTTCATTACCACCCAGTCATTGCTGGCAGGATCCATAGCCACTTTAGCAATTATACCTGAAATTGAAGACAGTGCTCCTGCTGCGGCCCCAACAGACAGCATCACGGTTGATCCCCATCCTACAGCTCCAGCTATAGCTACACCTGCGGCTCCTCCTGAGATGGCACTTGCAACGGCTGCAATAGGAGCCACTGCACAAAGTGTAGCCACCTGTCCGGGAGACGGAGCATGTTTAGCCAGGCAAGCGAACCAGTAGCACCGGTCACTTTGGAATGAGAGATTGTACTTCTGACCGTCAGAGAGGAGGGTTAAATAATTCCCTGAAGACTTGTTCTTGATTGCAAAAATCTTCTCCTTTGAACCTTCGGGGTACTCCACGTACCAAAGCTCATCATCCCTTGAGCCCCGCATAGAGCAATCAACTAAGTTACCAGCTTCATTCAGTGCGCGCTGAGGATGCCAGTCATTGCGGATGTAAATCAAACTTGGCCTTATGTTTCCGTCCATGCCATAACATTCTATTTTCCACATGCCATCGTTAGACTCTAGTACCTCCTTCAGTGGCTCGACATCACAAGGGCAATCACCACTGCCTCGCTTCACGAGTGCGGCTCCAGTTGCCAGATGAACCAGGTAAACTCGACTCTCCGAACTTCCCATGTCCGTATTTTCAGCAATTGCAAGAATTTTACTGTCGAAAATGAACGGACAAATGCAGAGTAAGTTGGATAAATAGAATATATTTAATTTCAACGCGCATGTAGCAGAAAGTTGGTTGTATTAAAGCGCTAACTGTGTTCGCCGTAGTTGTACAATTACTAATTTTCTTCTAACAATGCTTTGGGTAAGAACAACGTTTCAGTTAAGAGGTAGTTTGTCAGCTCTCTTCCGCTATTTGTGCATTTACGTTCACAAATGTGTTAGCCTATCATTTTAGCATTAAATTTGACCAACATTTTGTGGAGCGATTTCTACGGTCACGATTGCCTTCAAACTCGCAGACATAAAACTAGAGAGCTCTGAGGCTTATTTGCTGAAGTTAGGGAAAAATCTGTCGTGGGATTTCAAAGTTATTTTCATTTTTCGTAAAAATGAGGTTTTAAATATATGCCGATAACTCAAAAGTTTTCATAGTATAAGAAAATAAATAACATTTTCTTAAAGTCCCATCATTATTTATTAAGGATGCAAAAAATCGTAGAAATCGGTTGAATCTTTCATTGTGAAAAACGCGAATCAAAAACATAACCAACACGCATGTAAATAGGAACGGGCCACTTTAACTATTATGGTCAAAGTGCTTCAGTGGCTACATAAGTCTTTTCGGGGGTGGAAGCGGAATATTTTGTTCTTAGTAATCAATATTCAAACATCAATATTCAATATTCAAACCTCAATATTCAATATTCAGACTTCCATATTTATCTTATTTTCATTATTTAAAGAATTATGAGGGTGCTAACCCAATTCACAGTTAACAGGCTAATTTTTCGGCCAAATATCAGTTAACTACAGTAACTATTTTTTCGGCCAATTCTCAGTTAACTGCTAATTTTGGCTAGCTATTAACTTCCACTTTCCTACAGCGAATATTATTCCGTTATAACCCGAATTTTCCTTACTTTAGCACTTCAATCACTTTTGGGGGTAGGCCTTAATAAAATCAAGGTATAAATGTACATGAATTCACTCAAACTGAGCCACAAGTACAATTTATAAGTAACTGAAAATATGGAAAAAAACTTAATTATCTAACCGAAGAAGTAAAATGGGTAAGCGATAGCTATTAAGACCCTTCGATATATATATACAATGATGTGAGTGCTACGCGCGTTGTGATTGGTCGTTACCCATGATCTATCAGCTGTAGTGTTTGTTTACAAACTTTGTCTGTTGAGTTCCTAAGGAAGTTTTAATGTTTTAGTGAAGCGGAAAGCAACAATGTCAACTCAGTCCAGTATTTATGTCCAGGACCAATTTCTTCAATTGATGATTCCGGGGTCAATTTTAATCAATCATTGTTAGTATTGGTACCTTTAAATAAACCTTTTTAATGTATCAGAGAACAAAAAAGTACCTGATTTCACTATCGGTTTTTTGCTGCTCGCAGACAAAATGGAAAAGTAGAGCCTGAATTTTGTTTTTGTCGGTATTAGTTAAGTTGTGTACTTGCATCATTAGCAACTGGCACGATTTAAAGAAAAGTTGTGGAATGTTTGGATTCAACCTTTAAATAAAGGCATAACGCCGGCAAGATTAGCACTTTCTCGTAGAGAGAAAAAAATGTTGTAGAATGCTAAAATTCAAAACATGTGTGGTTTAAATCAATGAATTTAAAAATCTCTAATTACTTTCTGCTTTTACTTTTATTTCTGTTAACAAGTTTTGCCGATGGACTTCCTGTAAAAGTTCTAATCTCCCAGTCAACCATATCATCTCATTCTGACAAAGGAAGGCTACGTCACCTTCATCATTTCGGGAATGTTTTGAATCTAGCAATGTGTTCAGTTGATAATCCTAAAATTATTTCCCTTTGAGAGGGTAGATATAGCTAGATATATCGAAACCTAGTAGTAGAAATTTTAGGCTTTAGTCAGTAGAGCTTACGCAAACTGAACATTTTCCGCCTTTGTTTCTATAGCCACTTAAGTTGTTTGTTTGCGTCATAACTTACTCAGCCGAGTCGCCCTTACTGACCGGGGAAAAGAAATGCCAATTGCTGGGAGTAAAATTCAATTCAATTTCTGTATTCACATAAACTGAAAAAGAAAATCAATCAAAACTGATAAAATTGTTTCTTTAGAAACTTTGCCTGTGGAGTTGGTAGCGTACTTTTACTGTCTCGCACTGAAGCGGAAACTTCCTCCACTTTAGAAAAGTAAATATGATTCAGAGGAAATGAGATTTCGGTGCGGGTGCCCGTTGCTTAGGGGAGCTTAAAAACAAAGCCAAAATGTAACTCGTAAACCCTGAGAGTGTCTGCGACGGCAGCCACTCAGAGGAGTGTTCGTTTAGAGAGCTTCTACTGTATTGCTGCCTATCTCAGGGGCGGATTCATTTTCAACACCAATAAAACACATAGTTTTTTTTTGCAGAATACCAGAATTTTTGCAGAATTGTATTAGAAAACCGCAGGTCATCTCAGGAGGGGGGGGGGGGGGGGGGGGNCAATTTGCAAGAAAACGGCCTAACAAAGTTCGTGTGTAACTCCAAATCAATTTTTCCTATCTATGCCATATCATAAACCAGGGAAGGTTAATCAAGTCTTTTGCTATCCACTAATAATATAATAGAAGGTTCATTTTGTTTGTATGTCGTTACATTCGTAGTTTTCATTGTCCTGTCCGAACGCCTGGAACAGGCTACGTCGAATCATTCAATCATGTTTGCAAATTCTTTTGGAACATTAAAACAGTATTTCGAAGTAATAGAACTGAACAAAACGTTAAAAGCCGCCAATCGCTAATCATCTCCAAACTATGACGGAGAAAACCTTGGTTCTTAACAAGTTTTAGGACATTGTTTTTCTTTCTTTTTCTACTTTTTATTG